AGGAGAAAAACAAGGCCCAGAGGCAGACCCCTACCCGATGGGCAGACCCTCTCGTAAAATTGTACGGCCAACTGTGGCGCAGAAGAGCCCGAAGCAGAGCGGCCTGGAAGATGTGCGACCTGCGTTTCTGGCGTGCCCGGGACGAATAGCGGTCGAGAAGCAAGAAGTAAGAAGTAAGTAAGTAGAGGCGCGTTTCCAGCTAAATAAATAGGTATGTAGTAGGAAATCCCATGCTATCTTGCACGTGATACTACTTGGGCGTGTCGCAATTGCTTCGAGACGTTACCTAAGCACGGAAGTAGTAAAATGGGCATAAAAATGGTGAGATAGCACGCGTTCGGGTGAGAGTGGAACATGTGGAAAGCGCGTAGCTCCAACCAACCACTCCGCACGTGGCTACCTCGAACGTGGGCGATATGGCGCGGTGACTTTTCGCTACTTAAGGTGAACCATGGCAAAACGATTACTGCGCTTGGACTCCACCGCAGTCCCTCCCGGGCCCGGTGCCCTAACGAAACACAACTAGTCCCCGTAAGTCATTGAGTGGAGTGTCGGAAGGCTTCATTTCACACTAATAAACCAGTCCTTGTCAAAGCACGGCTCACTTGCACTATCGATAGTCGCATCACTGTATCGTCCAGGATCGACCTTCTTTTAATCTTGGCATATTTTGATCAGATGAGTGCTTGATTGTAGCCGTCCAAGATTAGTTAACTAGGTTGAGCTTTTCAACCTAGTCCTTCGAGGGTAGTCGCCCTCGCGTCACGGCGGCGTTCATTAAGGCTCTGACGAAGGCGAAGTTGCCGAAACGTTGGCCTAATAAAGTTAACTAATCTTGGACGGCTACAATCAAGCACTCATCTCATCACTGTATCATTTGAACCTAACGTGCACTCTCTGGTTGTACGAGAGCTCTGTTTCGTTTTAGATCATCATGGACATCGCGACTGCTGCTAGAAGAAAGTTATGATCCCGTTATTTGTCGCTGTATTGAAATAAACTTTGTATTTTGATAAATAAAACCTCATCGACATTTTGTAAGTCACTGGTATACTTTCTGTAAGACAAAGCAATAGCAATGGTAGCAGCACTCAGACTGGATCCGACCCAGCAATCTCAAACCAAAATTGTTCGGTCGACATAGCCCGGTTTTTAATCTATTCCGATTGAGGAAACTGTTTGGGCCGTCTCAGTTACAGCTAATTTCCGAGCAAAGCTATTTGTGTGGAGGAAAAACACAGGATCAGATGCAACAGGGCCTTTGCACAGGGGCGTTGAAGGTTTCCTACATAGTTTCCTATGAGCTGGAAGCACGCATAGGAACAACAAATAAGAACGGAATATTAGGTTGTACGGAAAGTTTTTGCCTTTTTTGACAGTTCACGTTTCAGTCCATTATTCTAACAGAGGTGATACATCATCCGATGGCTTTTCTTGTCAACTGCATTAAGGATAGTCTTATTCATTCAGATGTGCAAACTTTTTGGTCACTTCATACATGAGTAATGCATAGATACCAAACTTGTCCTACTATCCAACGCAGGAAAAGACTTGAATCTTCGCAGAAGGAAGCGAATTTCGACTGATGGTACGGAAATATTGCCCGCTGCTTACTGGCTGAGAACAAACATTTGGTGATGGCGTATGGGAAACACAGTTTTCGTCACCCCCATCGTCCACCGATCGAATCTCATAGTATCTTGATATTCATTTGAACACTTCACAGCGACAACTCACGTCTAAGGCGCTATATGAAAGACTTTTTATACCCAGACATGGAACAGCATAACGAACCCAAGGCGCAGTTTATATTACACAGTTCGCCAGATTACAAAATAAAAATACTTTGGGCTTCGCGAAATCACACCTTCTCAAGGAGGATCATAACTTCAGGATCATACCTAAAGGCAGTTGCAATGCTAGAAATAACTCGCATCGGAACTTCGTAGGGCAAACATATCAAACAGGATCAGAGACGGATCGCCTATTCAAGGTACGACTTTCTTCATCTTTCCGCAGAGGCAACACCTTGTTAATTCTTTGGTGCTAACCGTCTTAACGTACACCTCATAGACTTAAACTTGAGCTTCTTTAATAAGTTTATGCTACGAGGAATGCGGACCATTGCTTCTCTGCACTTAGGTCTGTCTTGATAAAGCTGGGCTTTCAGGGCGGAAAGGGGCTCTGTTTTGTTATGTTGCGCGTATTCTTATGGTTAGAGGTAGAACCAGTTGTGTGCACGTTCTGACGCCTTCCACCGCAACTCGAATGGAGGGCCAGTTTTCTTTGAGTGGGTCGTTAATATGGTGTAGCGTTGGCCCGCAGCCCCACTCGATCCCGCCGAAAGCGCGCGTTACCATATCCTCAGATAATCGCCTCTGCAAACGATGCAGTGCGAGTGTTGTTCCTTTGACATGTAAGTAAATCTATTGTCGCGCGATAAGATCAGATGACTTGTATTCCGTTTGAGTGATGTAACAACTCCTAACTTTGGCTTGACGCTACGAGCCGGTAGATAGCCCCTGCATTGGAATGTTCATCCGCTTGGAACGGAAGTAGAATCTACAGCTACCATAAAGGGACTGATCAACGCCAGACACTTATTGTCTCATTCTCTACTTACCGAAAAGCTCAAGGAAGTAGGAACGTGAATTTGGAATAAAACAATAGATATTTAAAATCAAGATAGTATTAGGATACCGGATATCTTACGTTAGTGTCGCTTTTCTGAGTTCAGAAAGTTTTTGGGCCGATTACCATGGAAAAATCAATATCTCAGAAGGTCCTTTTTGCTCATTAATACTGCGAAATATGTTGCTTATTGTTTTCTATTGTTAACTTTCCCCCCAATTTTTACACTTTTCTGAAGATCCGCTGGCTCAGTGCACAGTTCGCAGGTAAATGCTTCCAAATTCTTGCTGAGAGCTACAACTTCCGCCCACCAAACCAACATTGCATTTGTTGGAGGGAATACTACCATTTGAAATGCTCATCGGTTTTTCACAGTTTTCTCAAAAGACAGTGAAGTCTTTGAAGTGATGCCCGCAATCGTCGTCAAAAAGGTGGCCCTAGTTAAATCAGTCGAGACGGGCTGCACCAGTCTTGTGCTGAAATGGTAGGACACCTTAGCAGTGACTGATCGATGATGCACAAACGCTTTTGACGAAGTTATTGGGCCCCACAAGAAATTCTAATAAATGTGCTCATCTGCTACTCACGTGTGCTCAAAAAGGGTGCGTTTTTGACCCCATGTGGCAAAAAAGACTCCGGGAAAAATTGTCCAGTTGAGCTGGTAAGTAATAAATTTTCCACCATACAGTGCAGACCCTACTCTAACTAACTGTATACTTCTTTTGTCCAGGCCTAACTTTTTAGCAAGTGAGAGGGATGATTTGTCAGATGATGTCAAAACCGACCTACCTCTCTTTTTCGACTCAAAAAATTCCTAGCTTTAATCGTACGAGGTTTCACTCATACTGGTAAATGGGAAAGGGCTAATGAGTCATTCGATGAATATGCTGTTTCACTCCCCGGATTTCTGAATTAATTAGGTCGTGAAGAAAGTTCTTGCGCTTTTCGACCTTGATTTTCAAATGCCTGTATCTCGGCTCATTCGAAACCTTTTGATTGGAGTAAAGACTGTTAGAATCCACAAACCTCTGCCAATAATAGCTGCGTTGAATCAGCCCGGTAGTGCAGAATACTGGAGCTCTAGAGACGATGAACCCGGCGGAGGTCGTTTCCGCATCATGTTGGTTTTTGAAGCATAACTCTTTGGAGAAGCTATCCAGGTAGTCGAGAAAGTGACAAATTATAGGCAAAAGGTCTACCGAGTAGGATGTTCGCAGGACTAATTCGTAGCCAATCTTGTCCAACTTCTGCAGGGTTGGTTGTGGATGTGCGTCCGAGCTACCTGTCAGGGACGAGCCGGTTCCTTTATAATGAGGAATTTCGAGCATATGTGCCAGAGTTCTAGGAGTAGTTTTACACATTATCAGGAGTACTTTTTCCACATTAACAGATCCACCTGGTTACGAAAAGCTAGACCAGCCGCTGACCTTATGAAAGTCACCTCAACCTTCCTTCAGTGAAGTTTCACTTTTGCAAAGTTTGTAGAGCCTGATCGCGGTCGATCACTTCACCAAAGGTTCGTATTCCTTAGCAAGGAATCCAGTTCTTTGTCGTGTGCGTCGCAAATGATCAAAAAGTCAGGTCGTTTTCATGGCATGAAACAAGCTAGAACGCGGCGAACGACCCTTCAAAATGGTGAGCTGTCGCGGCACGCCCTATTTGAATTTTTGGGACTTTCCAGCTCTTCCCGTACAACAAGAAAACACAATGCAAGTGCGATTAGTTTAGGAGGAACCCTCTCAATAGATTTGTGCAAACGTGCTTCAACCAGAACGTTCGACTAATCGTTGGCGTTGTCCAATCTCCGATCACCACCCTCACAATCTTTAGGGCTCTCGCTATTCTTACAAAAGCTTTTTGAACAATTGCTTCAGACCATATTTATTGCGAATCTCAGCCAAGTGCGTCTATAATATCTTGACCTGCTTCCTCTCCATACTGGCCTGCTTTGAGCTAGAAAAAGGAAATCATGCAAATTTGCTTTTTGGAAAAAATTCAAGTCTTCAAAAATTTGCTCTTCTTCAAAAAATGACAACTAAATGATAAGGAACATAGCTAGCCTAGCTGTTAGATAGAACAAGAAAAGCTCTTCAAAACCACATACAGCTCATTGGCAGCTTGCTTGAATTCGTAACAAAATAAAGCGTTCAAAAACGAAACACCGAAAAGCGCAAGAACTTTCTTCACGACCTAATATAAAACGTTGAGTGGCTTCGAAACTCGTGTTGAAAAACACGACACTAAGATATCAGTTACCTAGGGATGAAATTGATTCAAGCTGATTAAAGGCAGTGACTACGATAGAGTCTGAAAGAGTCTTAAGAAGGTTATGCTGCGCCTAATGGTACGCCAATGGCGGAAAAAGCAGAAAATCTCGTTAAACGCAGCGATTACGATAATTTGTAAGGTTTAGAGAAACGAGGTGGTGCTCAGTGGTACGCCAGTGGAGAAGCAGAGAAATGCGTCAAGAAAACTCAAAAAAAGACCTCCTTTTTTCGGCCGTTGGCTTTCACTCATGAATAGCTGACAGCTCATAAGAAATTTTACGTATGAACGAGTTATCGCAATGCGTTTGGTGGACAGCATGCCAAACCACGCTCCAATCGAGTTGCTCCAGTTGTGCCGCTGCTGGCAACGCAGCTCGTCCAAATCACCAACTAAACTAGTGGGCGGATCGCTTTTGGGGGCGGAGTGCTTTCGAAGTCCTGCTCAGCAACCAGCGCATCTTTCGTTGTGAAAGCGCCACAGCTCGCTTCCTTGGCAGCCAAGTAACTGCTTCATGTGGAATTCTCCTCTCATTTCCATGCAATCCCTTCAGAATGGATACGCCTTTTTAGTACTAAATAGACATGTGTTTGGTGTGAAGTTCCTATTTGTTTTGCCCCTAATGTGACAGATGTGACAGTTGGGTAGAAGGTTCACGCAAGTTGGGTTATTTTGTAGTCTTCACGTGATTGCGTGTTGTAGAGTGTGGAGACTACACATACCCTCCATCAAGCGCATCATCAACATCAACGGGTTCGGCAACGTGTCATGAAAATCTCCAGAAGACTGCGGCAGTTGAAAAAACTTAGAAATTCGGAGTTTACAATTACCATGTGAGGAGCGCAAGCAGGAAGAGATGTGAATACATAAAAAAAAAAGGATAAAGCATTTGCCGTTGATCAATCCCTTTTTGGGATGCGGCACGCATTCTACTTCCATTTGTACATTCGCAGTGGCATTTGAATGCGATGTGGCCTATACAATGACTTGCGGGGGCCAGCCGATGTACAAGTCAGTGTTTTTATCCTCCCAGACAAGTCTGGTACCAATTAACCGACCCC